GCACGTGAGGACCTGTACAACGCCACTGATAATGCTGTGTCAGTCGCTAAGTACTGGTCCTCACAAATATAAACGTTAAGCAGATGAGAAAAGTTAACAGTAAAACGTCATTGTACAATATAATAATTTTTTATTCGTTTTCAACCTATAGACTCCACGATTGAATCAAAATCACACAATCACGTTAATTAGAAATTCTTCCGACGCATTATCAATTGGGTGGTCCTGTTATATAATTTTATAATATTTGTGTAGTCACCAATTATAGACCTTTTTTAAACAATTTTTTTACTTCTGTAATTTTTAAACTTTAGGATGTGGACATCTCAGGACGGTGACACCACATTCAGCAGTCAACTTGTCCACAGCTAGCGAATTGTTGATAGTTTTCTCATTTAACGTTAAAAGTTCTAATAGCACAGCTTGACCGTACTTTTTTCAAATGTTTAGCCATTGTCGTAAATTCGCTAACACCAGGCTATAGTAGTGGTCTGTTCGAGTTTTCGAGAATGTTAGGGGTATTATCTAAAAATAAAACCGATTATCTTCAAATTCCCCTTAATTATTCTTCAAAATTTTCGGCATTCATTTCATCGTGGTAATCTTCGATTAAAAAACCATGAAACCGTCGTCTGCCTCTACTTTCCTGTTGGATTTTTGGTCCTCTAGTAAGTCTTTTGACAAATGCTTCTTTTTGTGACTTATCTCCATGTCAAGTCTTCTTAAGCGCGTGAACTGTAAATAATAAAATATTTCATTATTACACCTGAAACAATACAAACCAAAATAGAGAACTTTTATTTCGTACTTAAAAATCATTTATGACAAATTACCTTCGTTTATCTAAAACTTTCGTCCTGGTAAAACATAAATGTTCTTTCACTGCGACATTGCTTAATTATCATAATGATGATGACTTGCCGGTTAAACTAAAACGGGCGCGGCGCGTGCGTTATAATTGAATTTTAAATGCACTATTGTATTTATGTATAATCCGAATCATCGTTTACAACTTTATTGATCTAAAAATACATACTAAAAAACTTTATTAAAAAATACAGCCGCTAGGTATCTCGAATTCGGCCTAATTTATTTTTTCGTAGCTTATTTTAGTAATATAGTAAACGCGGAAAACGCTAATAAAGTTGTCTTTTGAATAATTAGCTTCAAAAATTCATTAATCGTTTGCATTGTCGAAAACTCGTTTCTATAAAACATTACATTTTTCCGATGACAAGAAAAGGAAAATTCATCGAATTTTTTTTTTTGTTTATAAAAATAGCTCGTTTCTTTACTTAAAAGGCATCAAAAACCATATAAACAAAAAGCTTTTGTATGCTATTAGGACAAAAAAGATTACAAGAGTAAGTTTTTACGTTATGAAATAGTGTTTTAAAAATAACTTTTTGGTAATCTGTTACAATTTTTGTAAGGTTACAATTTAAACACCAAAAAAAGGCATTTTTTAGACAAAGATTTTTTAGACATTTTTACATTTGCATGAGTCATAAAATAAGTTTTTATAAAGGCAACATATTTGTTTACATTTTTGATCTCGAATCCCATCAACGAGTATAGACAGTTGGAAATAAATGTCAAATAGTGAAAAATTAGTAGAAACGATATCATAAAAACCCTAGAGTGGTTGAGAACTATATTTTGTCATAATTATATGTATAACAAACCGCATAGAATACACACCGCAACAATACATAATGCAAAATTTTTAGAAAAAATACAATATTCTAACAAAAATTATATAGATTTTCTCTTATACTATGTTTAGTTTCTTGTGATTAGTAATGTGGTCTGCTATGGTTGTTTCATATGGATTTGGAAAGGTTTATGCTATGCAGTGGAAGGAATTCGGTTACATTAAAGGATTGTTGTTTAACCAACTTGAAATGCAATATGATGTACGGCAAGAAGTATGAAAGTGTAATATGTTTAAGAAATATGAAATTCAGATGGTATGGTGTTGAATGGGTTGTTTTCGCAACGCCAAATCTCAGCGTCTATGAACTTCAGACAACGTGGAGAATGGTAGTCATAATATAAAGAATTGGACATTTCACAAAGTTGATTTGACTGATATTTAAGTTGGACATTGAGGACCTAAAAAATGAGAAAATGAATTGAACCGAACCATATGTATATTGTTACAATTGTCATATAAATGGCCGGGAGAAATATTTGTAGGGCTAACATTTATTTCTCTCGTGAGTTTGGGTGTAATTTGTGGTGTTCTATATGTGTGTCCATACACCCGCGACACAGGGTTTCCCTTAGTGTGTTCGTTATAATGTTAATACCTTTTTATATATTGGTCAATACGGACATTTTTATTACTTGGTAGTGGAACCAAGCAGTGGAACCAACAGTCCTAAATCTGTTCAATATACACTCTGCTTGCCGGTCTGATGCAGCAAGCAAACAAATATAGGTGAAGACTGAAAATCAGGAATGCTGAGTCTTCATCTCCTTTACATTACTGTTTTTTGTTTTAATTGCTCACTTATACTTATAGTTTATGTGTTTTGTGGATAAATAAATTATTTCAAACAATTTTAAAGGGGAGTGAACAACTGCATCTATTAATGTATACAAGATTTCTTAAGTTATTGTTAGGAACAGATGATCTATTAATAGATAACAAATAATTGTATGTCTTGGTTACATAATTTTTTATTTACATGTGGTTTTATTATGACTTGAGTACTATTTAAAAAAATACAATTGTTTATTTCAGAGGAGATATTTGCAAAAACACCGGCCTTGCTAATGGCGTCGTCCACCTTAATTTTCATATTATTTTTACGAAACCACCGTACATACTTTTTACACATTTTTACTTTTTTTTTTTTTAAATACATGACAGGCAAATGACTCCACTCCACCTGATGTTAAGTGGAAAGTGGTATCCAAACGCGAAGGAACCTAGTGCAGCGATGGAACCCTCACTTTATATTGACATTGGCTAAATCAATTATAGCGGTGGGGCCATAACATATAAAAGAAGTTGTTTGCTAATAGTATTTATTTATTGAAATTAATAGTCAAATACTATTTGAAACAAACAATTGACTTTGAATTGATTTTTGAGAGTTTAAGCGGTATTTACGGTATTGAATGCCAATGTTTTCTCAAGGCATAGAATATTTTCTCATTCATAAATAATGAATTAACTTTTTAATGGCATAGTTTTATTATGCAAGTCACTATTAAGTAGTATTTTATAAAAAGACAAGAAATTGTATGCAACAACATAAAAGTTTTTTTAGTAGAAGTATTGTTTCAGAGCTTACCTAACTTTTGTTTTATGTAATAATAATCAGTTTTCAGTACACGGAGAAGTTAGCAAGATCGCCACAGTAATGACATACAATATAATTAATTACAACTCAAACAAGTTGGAGAATAAAATTTAGAATTTCAAAAATTAGAAGTGAAAAGGTGCTAATTATAGTTTAGAACTACTAATAGCTAGCCGAAATCTTATATAGGTCTATGTAATATGTAGTTCGTGATCAGATAGACCGGTTATGTAATAAGTAGGAATCCAGGTAACTAGATATTTTTCATGATAAAATTATAAATTATGACGAAATAGAATATTTAAGAACTTCCGCGACCTCATAACAACAGTCTTGCATCAAACACGTATTTGGAAACATGATGTTTTTGAGAATGCGAGACAATCGATGACCAGATGGAAACTGTACTCAAAACAATGCCTTCGTTTACTTAAAAGGCCGTAATATCCTCTCTAATTACATACAACACACCACCAAACCGTTGCGTGAGCGAATAAAACCCCTACAATGACGACTAGATCAATAAAACACATGCTATGACTTTTGTAAATAAATCATTAGGCACCAACGTGGGTGTATTGATTTTCTGCACATTATACATACTTCCCCGCCATTCTGACATTTCATATTTCACATAATACAGCACAGACAATCCTCCATCAAGACTGCAACCACTAAAACCAGCTAGTTATACAGAAAATAGGTTTTACTTACCTAATTATATGCGGATGCTGCAACTAACAAATGCACTTGCCTAATCACGAATTTTAACTGCTACAATCTAAAGTTCTTCTATTAACCGTATAATTGCACTATAATTTAATAACTATTAAATCCTATTAGAACTACGTAACGACGGAATTACGCTAAAATTCGTAAATACGTGTTAAAATATTTCCGCAAAGCCGCTCTTCCATACACACACATACATAAATCAGCCGTATGCCGTATTGATTAGTTCGGCGAACTGTCACTTGACATATGAGGGCGCCACTGACGTATTTGGCCAAATTTTTTTTTTTTAATTTATTAAGGCTTTGGCAAAGCCATCAGCCTAAACATGAAGTTTAAATATGTTAGTGTAAATATGGCCGCCACAAAGAGGATAGGCAATTTGAGGCGGCGTGCTTGGATTGACTCGGGATTCTTTAAAACGGGCCGATACGGGTATTTTATTTCGAGATTCGTATAATTTCGCGTTTTAATCTTCGATTAAGGCACAATAGCACTATCCTATTCCACTTTAAATTAGATTTCACAAAATAATTGAAAGTCAAAATAAAAACGACACTTTTCCCTCCAAAAGGTCCAGAGCGAATCTACCAAATTTTATTTAAACTGATGCGTTCATTAAACAATTGGAATAACGAGTTGAACTTGAATATTTCTAGCATACTTTATATTATTTTATCAATTTTTATTTTTTAGGTGCGATTTGTAAGGAATGTACGATGACAAAATGTTTTTAATTATGTTGTCAATTTTTTAGCTTCTCATTGTTAATACACAGAATTATTGTGGAAAACCTTACACGACGGAAAAAAAATAGTGTTAGTAGAAAACGACGGAGCCAATAAATAAATAACGGAAATGGAATATTTGTTGCTTTGCCACTGGGAAATGAAAGAGACACACTATTAGAGAAACACACGAATATGATAAAGAGAAACGATTGTTTTTGTTTGTCATGAAACGTCAAAATGTATCAGCCGGTGATTACCGCCCCGCGCTTTTCGTCGTAAATTTTGGGGCGGTACGTCTGTCATGAGATATTGTAATTATTTAGTCTTAAAAGTAATACGTCCTAAAGAAATGGTGTCGCGGGCGCGCGGTTTACGCATATCGCACGAAGTAAAAGAATTTGAGAAGCGGCCTCCATGGGGCATAAGTATAAGCCCTGAAAAAGAAGATGTTTACGACGTCCTTTTAGTGAGCTTGCAGGGACCTAAAGGGTCCCCTTACGAAGGTGGGACCTTCAAGTTGACTGTAACCATCCCTGATGCTTATCCTTTTGAGCCACCGTTGTTAAAATTCACTACTCCTGTGTACCACCCTAACATTGACAAAGGTACAGTTCGAATAAAGGTTACATAAACTTTATTTTAAGTCGTATAAATCTATAATTGGGCACATCCTTATCGTTGCTTAGCAAACAACACCGCTTAAATGGAAAATACGATCGTTACTTTTGAATTTTACTCAAATAATGATGTGGTGTGATAAGTTTATAATGATTGTACTTTTCTATCGTTAAGCCTAAGTGCATGCTGTGCCCTTCTTTAAGTAATGGGACACTTAGTGTCTTTATACCTGCATAATTGTAGTGTACTTGTTGTGAGAGCCTGATAAAATAAATAATAATTACGCACACACTCATTGCCCCGCACTAGGGAAATCCAGTACACATAGACAATCACATTACGCCTGAACTCGTGAGAGAAATAAACAGAACCTGGGACCTCGTAAGTCAAATTCAAATTAAAAAAATGAGTAAGAAACTCTAGGGGTTGCTATTGTAAATATACATTTCAATACATTCATCATTACAATATTTAATTTAAACATCTTAGATCGAGAATACCTCAAAGAGCTAAACGGGTCACTACCACGGATTTGTGTCATCCAAGTACGCAGAAGTTGTATAATAACCTTTAGTATAAAGTTTTTGTTGCGCAATAGTATTACACCTCGTAAATGACAAATTTTGAATATCAATCGGAATCTTACTATAGAAGTGTACGCATTGCACCTTAAATGAATTTCCGACTGTGAAGACAACTGTCAAGAACAGCTAGTTTCTCAGCTTGGCAGACCAGCATGGGAACCAGTCGGTCACGGAGGCAGTTAAATCAAAATGGATAGATAGATAAAAATAAATGGATTTAAAGAGATACATGCAGAAATTTAAATTAATGGGACTAAAAACAAACAACAAGAAATCAAACTAAAAATACATAAAAACAAAATGCTAACCCAATGTTCAACAGCTTGTGTGTGCTGCAGATAGGCACATATAGTAATAATATTATGACATGAATCTTAGAAATAAATTTCTGTGTTAAATTGGTTTAGGATAATTTTTTTTTCTAATTTTTAAAAAATTTCTAATCAGTAGGGCCAGCACGATTTGCGCGAGAGCGACGTAAAACGTGAGTATACTATTATTCTCGTGCTAGCCCTACAGTATATCCAACTTTTCCTACACCCAGTCTACACCAACATTAGTAAAGTGACATAATTATCCAATAATAGGGGTTTTTCTCGGGAAGAATGGTACAAATAGAGGCATATGAGACTTGCCACCCTATGTCTCAGAGACGGGAGCACCCTTCAGATTTTTGCGATTTGAAGCTTTGCTTGGCATTGCCACTTAACTAACGCTGTTGTTGAACAGTTACCATGCCGGACTGCCATGCAGAAGTCCTAGGTTCGATTCCTTGGCCAAGAGAAATACGTGTATAGCCTACGTATTTGTATGTATTTCTCTGAGTGAATGTGAGTTTGGGTGTAATTTGTGGTTATCTATGTGTGTGTCCGCCCTCGACACAGGCTATGAGTGTGTTGCATTTATTATTATTATACATATAATTACTACACCTGTTTTAGATATGCGTGTCGCTTACCACCAGGTTCACAACTTGTACGTCCTACTACTAGAACTACTTTTAAAACACTGACAACCTCACAGGAACATTGATAATAACATTGTACTATATTAACAAACTATTATGGCCAACACAATTAAATTATTCTATCTCTATGATATTTATTACTTCATCTGTTTTCAGGAGGCCGAATTTGCATGGACATGC